AATTTTATTCAACTAAGGTTCTAAGGTTCGTTAGTGCTTCACGACACCACACGACGACCCCGTATTCTCCTAAAAAACCTAATTAATTTTAATTAATAAAAAATGTTAATTTTGAAAAAAAGTTAATTAAAATACCTAAAACCTAATTAATTTTAATTAATAAAAAAAAGTTAATTTTGAAAAAAAAATTAATTAAAAAGAAATCTAAAACCTAATTAATTTTAATTTAAAAAAAGGTTAATTTTGAAAAAAAAGGTTAATTAAAAAAACCTAAAACCTAATTAATTTTAATTAAAAAAAATTTTAAAAAAAGTTTATGTTTAATGATTGACAAAAAAAAAATTAAGTTTACCAAAAAATAGATAGGGGAAGAAACATCAATGGAAAATAGGGTTAGAAAGTAAAAATAATGCAAATGTCAGGAGTGGGTGTTGAACCAAAAATTAGTTTAAAACCTAAAATTAAATTAAAAAACCTAAAATTAATTATTCGAGTTTATTATGAAAAATCAAAAGTTTGTGAAAAATATTAGGTTTTATGAAAAAAGTTTTAAATAGAAAGAATGAAAATAGGTAAAAGGATAAATAGAATGGAAGAAAACCAAAACCAATAGGGGTGGGTGTTGAACCCACACCCTTAACCTCCTCAGGATGTCTGCCTTGCCATGCATTAGTTGTTGTTCTGATTTGGCCTCAGCATTTTGTAATAATCCTGCATGGGACCATTAGATGGTATAAATCTGCAGCGTTGAATCTCATGAACACATTAAATAAATTACTATATCATTAAATACAAAAGAAAAACAAATATATGAAATTTTATAATGTTAAAACCGATATGGCATGTATGAATGAGATGGCTTGTTTAAAGTGAGATGGGGGTTTGTAACAAGGATTTCAAGATTTCTAGGGTTCTTGAAAGAATTTGATATTTTGACAAGGTTGTGGCAAAGGTTTTTTTTTCGTCGTGTCCTGTTTGTGTGAAAAGAATGAGATTATATAATCAAAATTAGAGCAAATATATGGGCTTTGAATATGCAATTGGGCCTCCAATAACCACAAGCAATAGTGCATATTTTTATTCACTTGAGTCTAACACGTTCCAGGCTAAATCGCAAGGACTTAAGTGCAATTTTTGAAGTTGAGATGTGAAATAAAAATGTAGCCGACATCGATAACAAACTCCTGTCCGAAAATGGGCTCAACCAGATAAATGGTGAATTAGTTATGAAATTTTGAAGTTTCGCCTCAGACAAACTTATTTTGGGCTCCAGTGTCAATTTTGACACGTTCTTCAATAAAAAACTGGTATTGATCGGAGCAGAACCCGATCTCGACTTTGGAAGTAAAGTTGTAGATCTCTGAGTTAGTAACCTTGTGTAAAAATATGGACCCAATCCGATAAAAATTGACCGAGTTAGGAATTTTTGAAGTTCGACCCAGATGAAATAATATTCAGCATTCAGGATTTTCGATGCATCACGCGCACTCTGAGAAACAAACGAAGGCCTTCTGGATACCGTTCGAACTCGATACCTCCTGTGAAAATGTAGCCAACTCAATTTTTGAAATTTTTGCGCCGGAACCAACTCAATACGATGAAAATCGACCAAGTTATGATTTTCTGAACATGGCGCAAATAAATTTTTGTCACAAATTTTCTGTACGAAAATACTTGATAAATCCGCATTTTTGAAGACCTTCTGATCGAAATTGGTTTCCAGTTGTTAGAGATGAAAACATAGATAACGTCAAGACAGAATTTTAGCCACTGGAACGGGTTCAAAACGAGCCACGATCTTCAAGTTATGAATTTTTTAGTACGTAAAAACTGCACTTTCAGCACACTTTTTCACCATATTTCTTCGAGAAAAAATCGCATATTCGGAGACCTTCTTTAAAGAATTGGCTCTCAAGTCAAACCTGAATTTGAGAATATGTTATCAGGAATATCTTGGCGAAAGAACACCTGAATATGACGCGCCGGGTTAGACTTGTGAATCTTTGAACTCCGAATCATTGCGAAACAGCGAACTGATCTTCAGCACGGAAAATACTCTGAGAACATCCATTGGCGAAATAAACGTCACTTGTAACCTGACGAAGCTTGCTAAATATACCTTGATTCCATAACCATAAAACCAATGATGTGCGTGTATGTAATAATGAAAATAAAGAGGGTAAATTTTAGGGTACAACACATGCCTCTGTTGTGCCAACTGGTCATGATGAAGTCATCCAATCCTATGTTAATGACTCCCATTTCTTCATTACTCCATCATTGATTGCAATGATAATTAATTTTCAATAGACAGGTAGTTGCAGCGAAAACTATGAATTCAATATTTTCTAATCAACCCAACTTCATAAAATTTATGCCAACAAAACTAAGCTCTCCAGTTCTGCTTCTCTGATTCCAATTGCAAAATTTTGGTTTTAACTTTTAGTGGCAAATCTCCACCCAAGAGAGAATGATCTAAAAACACTTACTTGGTATGATAAACATCTCTTGTTATTCCTCCCCTATAATATTAGAGTTAATATTCCTATGACCATTTTCAACTTCTTGAAGGAACTGATAACGACTTCTCGAGAGGAAATGACTTTCCTCATACCTTATGGAAGAGTTCTTTCTGAACTTTTCTATAAGTTAGAGACAATTAGGGGTAATGATGAAGTTGAGTGGACTGAGAAGTTTGAATTTTTTGAGTAGTTTTCTTTGTTGTGTTGTTTTTTATTATTATCAATGAAATATTTCTTTTTTCTATTATTGTCTATTATTATTTATTGATAACAAAGTTTTTAGCATGTTGGAAAAGACACAAAGTGATAAGTCGTTGAAAAAAGTTTTAAATGTAGCAACGGAGATTTGAACTGAGGTTCCTTATAGCTATATTACCTCGGTTCTCAAGAAGACTAAGATAACAGGTTTATTAATTTTTTTATGGATAAAAAAAATGCTAACTTATAGTTGTGTTACCTCGGTTTTATATAACGCTGATGTAACATGTTGTTTATCTTATTAAAAAAATAAAATATTACACTCCCAGGACATATCCTCTCGGTTTTTAGCATGTTGGAGATGAAATTTTCACCATAAAAAATGTTATTCGTGTAGTGGCATGTCTAGATTGATTCAAATCATAAATAATTCTTGATTTGAATAACATGTTAAAAATTCCAATTTTCCATCTCTTGTTTAAATAATTATTTCTTTTGGTGAAAGTAACAAGCGGGAAACCTATGGTAATACCCATAGAGACAAAATATGATTTAATATTCTATTCTTTGTGTGCCCATCCATATCATCATGATTCTTTCTCTTCCTTATCACCATTACAACTTCTTGATCATGAATTCATGATAAAATTCATCCTTTTTTGTTGCATCTTGTTCTTGTGCAATTTGTTATTGTGTTTGAGTGAAATAGAGAGGGAGAGTTGATTAATCTTGTATGTGTTCATGGTTAATCAATTTCTTGATAACAATCAAACTCAAGACCATCCATTTAGAAATTTGACAGAACCTTGTGTGTGTGCATTCTTCATTCACCCTTATCTAAAACACTTGACTAACAACTTTTATTTGGAAATTGTATTGAGATACTCTGACACTATTCATCATCTCCGTCCTTAGTCTTATTTCTATTTTGAGGACCTTTATCTCTAAAGATTGACTGTTGAGGGATACTAGTGGCACACGAGGGTTACTAATGTTTTTGTGTGAAATTTATTGTTTGTAACGGGTGCATGTATCGTTTCTTGGATACATTTTAGTGTTCGTTGTTATTCACCGAGAGTAGAGTTTCCAGTATACTCCAAGGATGATTTTGGCAAGATCAAGTATCAAATTTCCTTAAGGTGGAAATGAAAGGTATTCATCTTTGGTGGTGTTGGAGAAAGATTGCTCGCATGTAAAGTTTGAAGTTATCTAATAACGCTTAGCTAAAACAATCTCTCAGACAAGAGATCGGTATAATCAGGTGTATTGACACATACAAATACTTGGAGTAGAATTATTGTATGAAGTAAGGTTATTGGATCAAGATCCTTTAGTGATCTTGACTTTTGTTAGGAGTTTGTAGTGTCTACATCAACAAAGAGAATTATTGTATGACAGTTCGTTGTAATCATAATGTTGTGATCAAACTTATCGAAATAGTGGAAGATCGTGATTATTTTCCTATGGTTTTAACATCATTGTAGAGTGGAGTAGACAATACGAGGACGACAGTCGAACCACTATATATTGTTATGTATCTTTTCTGCTTCCCTTACCTCTTTTACTTTTCTAGTATTCATTATCATGCCATTGCGTTGTTGCATTAATTGTGTACCACATAAGTTAGACTTTGTTTATAGCGATTTAATGTATAAGTTTAGGTCTGTGGTGTATCAACCTAAAATTATTTTTGAAAATGTCTAATTGGGAAATGGTCTATTCCCCCCCCCCCCCCCCCCCCCCCCACCACTTCTAGACCATTGTTGTCCATATTCTCACCTAACCAGAGAAAACCAAATCATTCTGCGAATTTTCAGATAGACCAAATCATTGAGTGTCAGATCGTAACTAAATCGCCCTTAATCTTATGAGACATAAATAAATTGGAATGAACCTAAAAAATAAACACAATATCCTTAGGAAGAACAAAACACTACCCTAACCACTTGAAAATCCTATATCACAACAACGAGATTACATCATGACAAAAAGATGAGAATCAAATTCTACCACACCTCCACAGAAACTACACAATACCTCTGTCGGATCTAAAAGAATTCTTCTCTTAATCAAGTTCTACTTAGAAGGAAACTTGTCAAGAATAATCTTCTAAAAAAAACAATCACATGTATAGGAGGTCAGCTGATCAAATACCAACCCATGCAATTACATTTAAAAAAAATTTCTTCCAAAAAACTAGTATCTCTAGACCTAAATAACCAAAACTAGTATATCAAGGAAGCTATAGTCTATATAACATAGTTGAATCCTATTGCTAACCTATGAATTAGTATATCTAGAGCTAAACAACGAAAATGGATTGGACATGAAACGCTTGACTCGAACAAAAACATCTACTTCATGATGCTGTGATGAAGTGCAGCCATTAATCATCTGATCGATCACTTCTCTTCCTTCACATATGATTCTCACATCACACTTTTCTTCTACACTTTTTAACACCATCTCCGCAATAGAATTTTTCCTTCTTGACACATGTTTTCTAATCATTCAAATAGTAAAAACATTTAGAAAAAATTATACTATTACTAATGATTAATTTAGTGTCACACATGAGTTGTACCTTAGATTAGATGATGTAGTTGTTCCAATCACCAATTTCATTATATTTAGATTCTTAACAAGATCCACAATTGTTTTAACAACGTTGTCACTTTCAATAAGCAACACCTCCACCTTAACCTGTATTGTTAAAACATGTCTTCAGTTTCACTTAATTCATTAAAGAGCTCATGCCACATATTGCACTTTAAAAAAGATAATTTATTTACCTTTGAATCATTACATAGGTCAATGAACTTTTGAAGCAACATTCTCCTCTTGCTTTTCTCTTGGGCCAAGTAGATGTCGACATGCTCTTGATTTACATGACTTCTTGGGATTTTCCCCACTGTTATAAAACATTGAACATAGTAAAAATCAAGATTTTAATTTGCGGTTGTAATTGTGGATGCAGAAAAGAAGAAGAAGCTAGTAGTAATTGATTACTTACATGGACTTGGAATTAGTTTGATTTGAGGGAAAACATGTAGAAGAGAGATAGTAGTAATAGAAGGTATAACTGAGTGTTTCAAAGCCCATGAAAGTGCTTCCATGCTTGAACCTTGATCATCTATTCTAACTGCCACATAAACAACATCACCTAATGGTTCTTCCTTCTTCAAATTTATCTCAAACAAATCATCATCTTCTTCTTCTATGTTGCTGCTGAAACTGTAATCAAACACTTGGTTTTTCTTGAACCCAATCAAACCGCAACCATAACTTGAGGATTCATCATCATTGTCATAGTGCAAACACTCATCATCAGACATGACAAAATAAAAAGGATAAATTAAAGTGTAATATGTTGTTATGCAATCAACGGTGTGTTGGTTTTATTCTAAATATCTTTCTCTAGAAGAATCCAAGTCAACTCAAAGAATCCAAGTCAAGGAAAATATTTATATTTTTTACAATAACTCCAATATTCATGGATTAGGATATGCATTCAAGATACTCTAATTTTTTTAATAAGAATATAATATATATTTTGACGGAAGAAATACGCGCTATAGTTAATATATACTACGTGTTTTAACAATATTAGTAGTTTATAATGTTTCTTTAACAAGGAAAATGATATGTATGAAATTAATTTTCAGTAATTATCATAAATGATTTGCTATCTCACTTTTAGAGTCGGAGTATAATCCTTAGCCATCCTACCCTAGTAGAAACTAGAATGGATGATAGATACATTATGTTGTCAACTTTATCACATTACTACAAGTATTATACGATAAAACTTTCACATCGACTAATAAATAATTGAGATATATATTTTGAGAGCGTCATAATAATTTTTTTTTTAAATATACAATCTATTCTTCTGATTTTAAAAAATATCGGAGGAATAGATCTATCAAGAATCTTGTTTTAAATTATAGTTACTGTATTTTCTATTTTTTTAATTTGTTTTTCAATTGGTTTATGGATAAAGCGTTACATTTTCTAGTTGACATGTTGTTATTTTTCATTTTTTTTTATTTTGAATTACGAAATTAATAATTTTAATTTCTCTTATTTTTTCATTAATTTTTTTATTTTTAAGTTTGTTTTTTTTCTCAGTTACTTTGTTCAAAAGAGGGGTAATATCATTTGCATGAATTTTTTAAAATATGATAATTTTCTATTTTTTTATATTTTAAATTAATTTATTTCTTTGGTTATCCCCTATTTCTTTTTCACAAATACTTCACTAAACTAGACTCTAATTTTTCTTTTACCTATCAACACTCCCCGTTTCATAGTCATTCTCTTATAAATGTATTCTAGGTGATTTTTATCTTCATCAAAACTCGGATTCCATAATCTCTTCCAACACAAGTCTCCTAACATCAACTCGAACATCAACAATTCCAACCTAACTCGAACGAAGCATCGTTGTCACGTTTTGTGTAGATAACTCACTTTATCTAGTGTTAGTTTGAGAAAATGGTGTCGCTGACCATTGAGATGTTGATATAAATGTTGTTTTTATTTAATAGTGTTAGTTTGAGAAAATGGTGTCACTAACCACTGAAGTGTTGATAAAAATGTTGTTTTTATTGAAATTTGAATATTGTCGGTTTTAGAAAATGGTGTTATGTACTGTGTATTGAAATGTTGTTTTTCTTGAATAATATTAGTTTGAGAATATGTGGAAAGTGTGTTCTTAGAAAGTGTACCATGAATATAGTATAATTCATATGTCTTAGATGTCTTAGCAGAGATTTGTTGATTTGAGTAATTCAACCAGCACATCTCATACAACCTCCACAACATATGATAATACTACAAGTAAAAGAAAATTAGAGGTGCCACGATGACGGCCAAGGGTACAAAAGCCCACAGAAAAAGTGTTTGCTTCCCGGTTGATTTTTGTTTAATAACTGGTAAAGCTTATGGTGAAGAAACTAATAATTTTTGGGTTACGTGTAACTACAAGGTAGAAGCAAAATCAACATTTTGATAGATAATTGGGAAGAAGTATTATTGATTCAAAAGATGAATTATAGACTGATATTACGATATTTATTTTAAATTTGGTGATTTGTTTTACAAGTATAGATGATCATTTATTTTTTTGGTTTAATAATAAAATCAAATATATTATGTAAATGTAGGAAGTGTTTATTATTCCAGAGGATGATATGTTGAAAAAGAAATGGATTGAATATGCTGGAGAGTTTTGGAGGGTTTTAAGACACAACTCACAAGTGATTATGTTACAAACTAAAGTGTAACTTAGAGCCTCCATACATGACGTATGCATATACTAATAAGGAAATTTAGGAGGAGTTTATCAAGTCTTGCACCACTCCTAAATTCTTGGATAAGAGCCAAAGAGGAAAGGAGAATAGAGCAAAAAAAAGTCTATCAACATAGATTGTCTCGTAGAGGATATGTAAAAATGCAACAAATAATGATTAAAGAAAAAAGAAAACAAAGAGAACTAGAGCTGGGAGATCCTTCGAGAAGCCTTGATTGCAACTCCATCATCACGCCATAAGAAATGGAAGACGACACATCAAAGACTAGGAAGCAAGTTCGCATCAGAGGCTACACACGAATTTGATGAAAAACTTATAAGTAGATACTTTTTTAAACATTACTTATTTAAGTTAATTCAATTTGGTAAATATGAATTTATATGTGTGTTGTAGGATTTACTAGTTGAAAAATTCAAAGATGGTATCTTTGTTCCACAAGTATGTCATGACATCTTGGTAGAAGCGATTGGAATATATGAGCATGGTGGGTGCCTTCGTGGTATTGAAAGAGGAATCAAGTTGAGGTTATTTTTTGGATCGTCACAAAAAAGTAACAAAGTAATCTATAAGAAAGAAATTGAAGAGATGGTTGATCAAATGGTGGGTGAGAAAGTACAAGAATTATTAGAACTAGGGTGGGAGAAGTGGATTCAGGAGGCACGAGAGAAGTGAATTCATGAGGCGCAGGAGAGAGTAACTCAAAAGGAACGTGAGAGGGCGCATCTGAAGGAGTATGAAAGGTTGTTGAGTATGTGTCCTCAAGCACAAGAGGGGGTGGATTATCGTATTTGAAAATCATGATTAATTATACCTTTCTCGATTAAGATCGTGTTAGTAAAACTTTGTTAAGTGGGTAAGCACAGAGGAAGTAACGAAAATAAATTGCGGAAAAAATAAAGAGAGTAAGGATAGAAAGATTTCTCCAGAGAGTTATTCATGTTTGGTCTAACGTTGGCTGAGTCCTATCTCTAAGAGGTCTTCTTGATATTTTTCACTATAGACTTGTGAGTTTTTAAAGGTTATGTCCACAGACCTTAATAAAATCTGATCTTTAAGATTTTGAACAGGCTTATCCCAAACCTATAGACATCTTTTACCCCAACTTATTTTATCGAGACAATTAGATATTTATGGATGATCTCTTTAACCCAAACAAAGCTTTTTCTAGTGAAGCTTTACAAACAAGTAAAAGAGATTTATGGTTTATCTCAAGAACGAAAACTCGGTCTCTTAAAGGTATTGCACCCTTAAGACTATAAATGACCAGCACGACCACTTACAAGAATATTCTCCTCACAAATAAAATTTCACTCCAAAGGACTAAGGCACCCACAAGTGAAGAAATAAGTTTCTAGTGAGAGAAGTAGAAAAAGTAGAGACATAAATGTCAAACAAATATGAAAGCGTTGGAAAGTGGCGTGATTTCAAGTGAGGAAGTCACCCCATTTATATAGTAGTTGAAATCATCCAAAAATGAAACAATCAATGGGTTGAATTAATTATCTAACTGATTAGTGTTGCAACTGGTTTTTAAATCAGAGTCTCCACCCTTAATTTTTATCCTAAAGGAAAGGAATATAAAGGAATAACCTTAAAGTTCATAGATTCTAGATTTGGACTCAGTTCTAGATGAGAGGAAGGTAATAGACACCTCTTATCTACCTTATTCACAAGGATACTGGGTTTAGAAGGGCTTTTTAAGAAAATAGGGTTTTAAGTTTTTATTAGGGAAAAGGTTTGAATTTTAGTTAGGGGGAAATGGTTTTAACTTTAGTTAGGGGGACTCGTCATGATTTTTGATCGTATGCCTACGTATCCTCTTAGGAGGAATCAGAGTCTCATTTTGTAGTTCGCGGTTTTGTTTGTGTTTCTTTTTATAGGTTGTAGAAATGCCTCGAATTTTCCTTGAACCAAATTCGGGTTTGAAAATCGCGGAATCGTGGATATAGCTCGCAGTCGATAAAAGATATTAATTCAACTTTTTTTTTTGAAAATAAACATTTTTGAATTAAATTAGTAATAAAAAAGGATGTTTATTGGTTACGTTAGACGGTGTGGCAAGTGAACGAGGGGGGGGGGGGGGGTGAATAGATCACCTCCTAATTTTTCAAGGATTTAAAATATTTTATCAAAGTTTGTTGAAAGCAGTGGAATATTAATATCCTGAATCAACTTCCGTCTATTTTGAACCAACTACTAGAAAATCAGACATGTGAAAAACTTGTTGGATTTTATTATATGAAATGGATGAATATACAACACAAATTACTTAACATTTCTAATGCACTTATCACTAAAGCATTGTTTCCAATAAATTAAAACTTGTTAGGAATTTTGTCAAACACTTGGCATATGCTTGTTTGATGATTTAATAATGGTAATTTGATCAAAGTATTTGAATCACTATTTTATCATTAAACAGAAAACTCAGCAAGCCAATTGAATCACAAAATTATGTAAAATGTAAAGAGATAGAGAGAAAGAAAGGACAATATGCAGACAGTTTGGTAAGGAAGTTCCCCACTGTCGTCCTCGCGTACGGGTATGTCTCCCTCTCAATTTCAGAATTGAAACTAAGAACTCTTATAAAAATTTGTTGAATGTTTGAATACAAGGTTACACTACACAGATAGAAAGAAATCCCTATGATCTTCTTCTTCTTGTAAGAACCTCCACTTGATATGAGCTATATCAAGATTCCCTGCAAGATCCACAATCGATCCTCCGCTTCCATGACCTGTTTGCAAAAATACCTCTGATTTCCAAACCCCTCGCTACGGCTGAATCCGACTTGCGCAACCATGACTAATAAACCCTCAAGAGCACGCCCGTTCTTGAAGGACAAACCCCTTGGTTTTTCCTAGAATCTCCCTTCACAATCTTTAACCCAGATGAGATCCCTTAAATGCACAGTTGAACGTTTTCTCTTGACCTCTTGATCCAATTGAACAAAAATGTTTGATTTTCGTTGTTGTTGTTGAATGAAGATGATTGAGAAGATGATGAAGATGAAGTATCTT